TTACACTGGGCAAGTAGTCAACCAATCCTCTTTTCGCTGTATTGCATTGAAAAGGTCGATGGCTGGCACCTCCAACTCCCGGCACCCCTCGGGACCCCTTGATACAAGCTTCTGAATATATTCGGCAGCCCTCCATTGTGCGACCGCTCCCTTCACTGGTTTCTAGATTATTCTGTACTATTTAAGGCTCATATATTCCACTGTTATATGTATGTTTTTTCGATGATATGTATGTATGTATGTATGTATTGTGTTTAGCTCTTATAGTGGTATAGAAACGGGGTATACTTGCATCAATTTCTTATCCACAGGAGGAACACCAAGAAAGATGAGGCGAGTCTTCTCAGAAAGGCTCTGGCAATCAAGCAGGAAGTCCGCTAAAATAAGCTTCACAATCCCTCTTGTATGGCAGGGAAGCAGAATTTAGATAGAAAGATCAATTACCTTCAGGTGTCTTCATGTTTTCTTTGTACACATCGAGAGGTACACGAGGACTAAGCCAGTTGAAGGATTCATTGAATCATTCTACAACCAAAGAAGGCTGTGCAGCATCATCCTTAATTAAAATACACACACACACACACGCACACCCCATCAGTATCTTATTGTGACTCTGATAAACACTATTTTTGAAAAATCTATGAAGGATACTCGGCCATATCGGTATATGAAAAAAGGCTTACATCATACAAAGTTCATGCTTTAACAATAAAATCCAGCACATTGCTTGTAAAAAAGGACTTTGGAAACACTTTACAAGGAAGAAGGATAAATGAATGCAAGCGGAGATACCTTGGGTAAAACTTCATCAAGAACGGCCAAGGCATTCCTTGAATTCCAACCTGCATATCCTCGTAGATGGATATCTGCCTGCAGTTTCAATTTCAAATCATTATCTGTTTACTGATATTTATGAGATTAAACTAGCAATGGAACGTCATACATGTAGGAAAGGCACTGCTGTTTACAAACAGTAAAGAAAGGTTACCTATGATAACTGAAAATAAATTATCAAACTCCAGGAGAAAAGAAATACCTTACGAGCGTACAGGTGGCCTATGATAACTGAAATAAATCATCAAACTCCAGGAGAAAAGAAATACCTTACGAGCGTACAGTTGGCCTTCATGGCGTAAACTGTACTGAACAATGGACGACCCAAACAAAACAAACTCCGATCGTCGTGGTACTACCATCTATACCTAAATGCTCTTTTTAACTGCAACCTAGCTATGACACAAACACAAGATTTTATTGTGCACAAGCTGAATGGCAACAACTTACAAACACAAAGATTTTATTGTGCACAAGCTGAATGGCAATAACTTGAGGCCTTTATATTTATACACAAACATGGCTGGCTAGTTGACTAGATTTTCGTGCCATTGCTTCGTGTTTATGCTGGCATGTAAGACTATCAACGAGTCCAATTCCAACCAGACCGCAGTAGATATGGATCTTTGTTTGATAAATGGATCGAATCTTTTCTTATGAATTTTGTTTTGAGTGCGCTCTAGACATTTTTTTTTTTTGATAATCAACGCTCTAGACATTGATTTGTTTATTTGAGTTCAAATACATTGAATCTTGTTACTCCTGTTAATTATATTATATTATAATTATAATTATAAAATAAATGAAACAACATGCATTTTTATTATTTAAAAAACATTTTTCATCCATTCACATCTTACGATTCATTCATTATATATTTATGCAAATCTTGACATTTTGGTCTCTATAGTTTGCAAAGTTTACAATTTAGTTATAAAAGTTCACTTTTTTCACGTTTCAGCCCCTAAATATTTTGAGAATAGAGAAAAACACCAAAAAAAATAAGGAGAAAGAAAGACTTTAAACAACCCCATTAGACGATAATCTTGATATCTATGTGTCCATCTTTATAAGAAGATTTCATGAAGGATTGTAAAGGTGGTTTGGGATTTCAATAATGTCAGAAAAGTAGATCTGGCTTTGCAATATTTTTCTCGAAATGATTTTGAGTTTTAAGCATATTTGCGGGTGTTTTGGGGTTGTTAGGAGAGTTATTTAGTTTTATCCGATGTTTTTAAATGAGAATTTATTGAATCTGAATTTTTAAAGTTAAAATACATTGAATCTTGATTTTTAGTCAACTAGAAGCTAAATCTAGTTGCTAGAAATTGAACGCCACCAAAAAATTTATTTACATTAGCAAAATATTTCGATATAAAAACTATATTTACATGGAAAAGCATGTCGTTGAGTAGTGTATCATTTGAGATTTCAAATCCATCAATAATTCAATTAATAGTTTATGCACCAACAAATAGGCTGACATGATATTAGCATCGGTGCAAAATTATGCAATGATCAATTTTTATTGGTTTATTCATTAATAAATATTATAAATAGATAACCGACAAAATTATTATTTATTATATATTATGAATTGATGATAAATTCACTAACAACATTATCGACAATCATATTCTATCAATAAATATAACACGATCTATATTAAAAAAGTTAACCTCTTTTTAATTCTCAAGTAAAATGGGTTTATTGTACCAATGAAAACACCACTGTAATTTTTATGTTCGTGGATGGTTTCATTGGTGTTCTAGTATTTTTTTTTTAAATGCTATCAAATAATTTGATATTAAACAACATTAAGCAAAAAAATTAAACTGAAGAATGTATTTAATATTATTAATTGAACTATAAAAATCAATTAGAAATGTTTATATATATTAAAAATAAATTGTTAAGCAAAAAAATTAAATTGAAGAATATATTTAATATTATCAATTCAACTATAAAAATCAATTAGAAATGTTTATATATATTAAAAATAAATTGTTAAGCAAAAAAATTAAATTGAAGAATATATTTAATATTATCAATTCAACTATAAAAATCAATTAGAAATGTTTATATATATTAAAAATAAATTGTTAAGCAAAAAAATTAAATTGAAGAATATATTTAATATTATCAATTCAACTATAAAAATCAATTAGAAATGTTTATATATATTAAAAATAAATTGCAAATGAAGGTGGAGGAGGCATAAAAACCTCATAAAGCTATGTAAAAGGTAGGATAATTACTGGACAAGTATGCTATTATTCCCTCCCATTAATTACTTCCTACTCTGCCTCTATCTTGGTCTTTAAAGAACCAATTAATTATTCAGCCAACTCTTTGACAACTAATAATGGTTGTCTTAGGCTAGATTATAGGTTATATATGGTTAAGACATTACAACCCAACCTTTTATCTCGGGTATTACTTATAGAGATACCATAAACTTAGTTCATATTAGGTCCATCGATTCCTCAAACATCTATCCATAACTCTAGATCATATTTTAAATGGGTTAAAAGGTCCCTTCTATGTTTGGCATGTATGCTGATGTGTTACATTGTTTCTAAAAAAAATCAATTCAATGATATGAATAAACAAAACATTAGTCCAAACAATAAACAAAAGGTTTAAAATTTTACTTACACCTTTTTCTGTTTATCTTCCCTATATATATGTTTTTCCATGTATAACTCTACTGAAGTTAGCTTATGCCCAAGTTGTGTATTCTTCAAGATAAATCATCAATTAAATGTTATCACAAATAATACTTTGCATGGTTAGTAAAAGGAAGCAACCCTCTAGTATGCTTACCAATAGAATTATGAGTCTCTTTGTTTCTGTTCAAGGATCCAAATCATGACCGCCTTATAAAATCCTCTGACATCAAGAACTATAGATATCTCTTCTAATCAATGATATGGGGACATCAAGAACTTGACTATTCTTTTATTGTAGGTATGTGTGATTAATACTTAAAAGTGTATTTTTATCAAGATTTTATATCGTTATTTTGTGCTTCAAGTATCAATAACTCTTTTACTAAAGCATGTTTTATAATAACAAGTTTGATACTATAAAATACCTTTAATTCATGGTAAATATTCATCCTAAATGCAGACCTATCACATAAATAAAAGAATTGATTGATGAGTTGAAGTATTGAAATTGAAAGGACAAAGAAAGAGTCCAACTTAGAAAAGAGATGTTAGTACAGTCTAAACTGAGACATTATTTGGTAATTGGGTCATATATGGAGCTATAAATAATATATTTAGGTCTGCTTTATATGAATGGAAAGCTAAGATATAAGCATAAAACATTCATGTAGAAATCAAGACTTAATTCTACTGTTTAGAAGTCCAAACTTAGAAATAACGTAAAAGTCTGAATTTGTCCTACAACCTAGACATTGTTCAGTGTTCAACCTATATCTTGAGTTTTAGAAGTCCAAATGACCTCAATCTTTTTTTCCTAGAAAGCTGAGACAATTTCCTAGAACTTTCATATGAAAATTTGGCTCAAATTCTAAAGTTGTCAATAACGTTGTATTCAGACAAGAAGATAAAGATTATCGTCAAGTTAAGATGTGGCTACCCATTCAATAATTAGTCATCAAATCAATAGTTTTAAATTTTGGCCTTAAAAGGAGGCATTTGTCATGCATTTAGGCATCTTGGTTTCCAAATCAAGATCATGCACTTACTTTCTCTCTTTGTATTTTTGTAATGCTTAAGTTTTGCTTTCATTAATATCCTGTCTATGTCTTTCATTTCTTTTCCTTTACTTAGATAAATTTTATCTTATTTATATTCTTATGTTATTTATTTATGTTTCTTTTCTTCATTATGTTTAGCTAAGTTTGTTATATCAAGGTAAAAAGGTTACATTAATGGTGTAAGAATAAGTATAGTGTAAACTCAATATGGACTTCAATGTTGGATACTAACATGTTTTGTATTTGTTATCTTGTTCACTCTTAATACTTTGCTTGTTAAATAGTTAATCTAGATTTATGTTGTATAACACTTTGTACAATAAATACTTGGTATTTTCATAACTCAACTATATGGTATAACCTACACCTGTGTTATGACAGGAACTTCATTTCTTATTAACATAAGTTATAATTATGAATGCCTGACAATATTTACAAGTATTAGCATTATTCAAATAAGATAACTAATATAATCATGTTAACAATTTATAATCCGATTGGAACCTCATTTGTGTGTGATTTCCAGTTAAGTAATGAAAGAAGTTTATACTATACTTGTTTGAAATAGCATTAATGAATCCTCTAACCTTGAAATTTATTGTTATCATTGTTTAATCCTCGCATTGATTATTCATCTCAAAGCTCTTATCAACTTCTTCTTCTTCTTCTTCTTCTTCTTCTATTATAATTATAATTATTATTATTACCATTATTATTATTATTGTTGTTATTGTTGTTGTTGTTGTTGTTGGATTATTGTTATTTATAATTTATACAATTAATCTTCTTGTAGTTCGACTTTGGTTTTACCGGTTATTTACTACTTCGACACTCCTGCACTTGGGAGAAGATATCAATCTTTTGATCGTGTCAAGTTTTTGGCGTTGTTGCTAGGGAGGTAAATTCTTATACAAATTATAGTATTTATTTTATTTTCTCTTTTCACTTTTCTTACATCTAACTTTGTTTCTTTTGTTTTGTTTCTTCTCTTTTTTTTTTCTTCTTCCTTTTATTATATTCCTACATATACATGAGAATATGGTCACATACATTAAGTGGTAGACTTTGTAGGGTATCCTCATTATTTTCAAAAAATATGATCGAAAAAGATAACTAGTCGCTTTATAATAAGAATAATGAAAATAATCATGTTAGAATAATTAAAAACCACACGAATCTCATAAGAACATGTGCACCATCATACATAGTTTCCCCCCTAATGCATCTCATTTTAATTTTAAGATAGGCATTAATCAACTTTTACCTTCTTTTCATGGCTTAGATTTAGAAAATCCATACTTGTATTTAAGGAAATTTGAGGAGGTCTGCAACACATATAATGACTCAAATTATAATATGAACATCATCAGATTAAAGCTTTTTTCTTTGTCATTAAAAGATAAAGCTAAAACATGGCTATAAAATTTGAGACTAAGATTCATTCGTACTTGGAATGAAATATAACAACAGTTTTTAAAGAAATTTTTCCCTTCTCACAAAACAAACTCTTTTAAAAGATAAATCACCACTTTCACTTAAAAACCAGGAGAAACATTTTACCAATATTAGGATAGATATTGAGACTTGCTTAATACTTGCCCTCATCATGGTTTTGAAACATGGAGATTGGTT